CCTTATCTTCGTCAAAATATAATTCTCGATAACCACTATGCATCAGAAGAATACCATTATCGTTCTCTTAGTTTCCCTTTCATCCCTCTTAGCTAATGGCCAGCTCGATTACTACTATTATTCGTCATGTCCTAACTTGCCTATGATTGTTAGATATGGTGTTTGGGCAGCTATGAAGAACGACACCAGGATAGCAGCATCTCTTCTCCGTCTTCATTTCCACGACTGTTTTGTTAATGTAATCATTAATCCATCAGTATATATATAATTCATGTTTAGTGTATATATATATATATATATATATATATATATATATATATATATATATATATATATATATATAATATATATATATATATACCATTAAAACTACCATTTTAAGAGTGTGTCCTGTTGGTTCCAGGGTTGTGATGGTTCTGTGCTTCTGGATGATACTAAAACCTTCAAAGGGGAAAAGAAAGCAGGCCCGAATCGTAACTCAGTTCGTGGGTTTGATGTCATCGACAATATAAAAGCTGATGTAGAACGGGCTTGCCCATCGACTGTTTCATGTGTGGATATATTAACTCTTGCAGCTAGAGAAGCTGTTTTTCTGGTACTAAAATTTGAATATTTTTTAACCTTATTTATTATGTAGTCTTCATTCTTTCAAAAGCTCCTGATCTTTAGATTTTACGCTAGTTTTGTAGTGATAACTAAAGTTTAACCATCTTTGTGCATGCAGTCAGGGGGGCCAAACTGGCCTGTTGCACTAGGCCGACGAGATGGGCTGACAGCCAACCTGAAAGCAGCAAACGAGAACCTGCCAACACCCTTTGAGCCGCTAGCAAACATCACGGCTAAGTTTGCTGCTGTAGGGCTTGATTTGAGGGATGTCGTGGCTCTCTCAGGTGCACACACCATCGGGTTAGCTCAATGCTTTACATTCAAGAACAGGCTGTTTAACTTTAAGGGGACAGGTCAACCTGATCCGAACCTCGATTCATCTCTAGCCTCGAGCTTGAAAACCTCATGCCCTAACGTCGATAAATCAAACACGAACCTCAATTCCTTAGATATGGTGACTACATACCAGTTCGATAATGCTTACTATAAGAACCTTGTGAACAATGGTGGATTGCTTGAATCAGATCAAGCCTTGATGGGTGATCCACAGTCTACTGCGATAGTCAATGATTATAGCATGTACCCGTATCTTTTTTACAACGATTTTTCGGCGTCGATGGTGAAACTCGGTAATATTGGGGTAATTACGGGGCAAAATGGTCAAATTAGGAGGAAATGTAGTCAGTTAAATATGTAACTGGTTGTGATGTTGAGAATAATGTTGGACTTTGATTCTTTGTGTCATTGTATGTGAGCAAAGAACACTTTGATTATTGAAGTCAAATATTGTCTTTATATTACAAAATCATAAAGGTTTTCCCAAAGTAGCATAATCTTAGGTTGTGTCATTGTATGTGAGAAAAGAACACTTTGATTCTGTTTCTCTCTCTCTCTCTCTCTGTCTCTCTCTCTCTCTCCCTCTCTCTGTAACGCACTAGCAGAAACACAAAATCGAATCGCCGACGTTCACCACCACTAATCCTGTAAGTCGTCGCTAACATCCTCATCACACCAATATTTTGCCTTAGCAACCCTGAAGACGAGTTAAACGATTCCAAATCATGGTCAAACGAGATACCCGTGTTCAGGTGAAACTAAATCGAGAGTTGAGACTCATTAATCAGAACCTATAAATCGAAACCAACATATGGTCGGAGAAGAAAGAACAACGACCAATTCCTGAAGAAAGAGAAACATGCATCTTGGCGGCCATCACACAGGATCAGACAAAATGGTGATTAAGATCGGAGCAACAGGTTCAGATCGAACCCCACCCAAATCATCTCTGTCGACGGTTCTCCCCTGATGCGATTCAAAGAACGGTGACAGTTGGTGGTGGCCAGGGCTTGGATTTCTTGATGTGAGGAGATGGGGAAGAGTTTCTGGAAGAGGTCCTATCCAGTAGCCAGATTTTGACATCAAGGGGTGTGCTCCGGTGGTGGTTGTCGAAAACTAGTGGATGGGCCATTCTTGAAGATTTTAGAGAAGATGGAGAAGAGAAATTGTAACACCCCGTTTAGCAAAATAAATGAATAGATAAAAATTTATATGAATAATAGCCCTAAAATCCATAATTTTAGTGGGGTGTTGGTTTTCGGGAGCCAAATGTTATAATTTGGGTTATTTGGGGGTTAAAGTGTAAATTCGAGACTTATTTTGTAAAGATTTTTAGAAGACAGGGGGTGTTTGGTATCATTTGGACCTAAGTTGAAAATGTTTTATAGAGGAGGGGCCATTTGGTAACATAAGGACTTCAATTGGAAATAATTTGTAGAGGGAGGGGCTGATTGGTAAAATTCGGACTTGATTTGTAAAGGATTTCAGAAGGCGGGGTTAAAAAGGTAAAATATGGACTGAGTTTTAAAGAAAAAGGGAAAGGAGGGACTGGAAGCGTCATTATGGCAAAGGTTTTATATGGACGGGATTATATAACTGTTACCCTTCCGAAACCCTATCCGTAAATGAGATATCAGCCGCCACCCTTATACCTCCAAGCCTCCGACACCGCTACCTTATGCCAACCTCCCTCCGCCACCGCTGTTGAAGCCGGAAACCACCGGGAAGCCGTTGTTGCTATCTAGCTGCCGATGAAGACGAAAGGCCGCTACTCCGATGTGACTCAGTTGTAGAGATCGGAAGACCGACGTTGCGATGATGCCGTAGTCGTGGTCGGGTCTCTCTCTCTCACTCTGCTCTATTCTTCTGTCGCTGCTGTCATGTCCGGCGGAGGCTAGTTTTCGAGCCGACGTTGTGGTCGTAGGAAGACCAGTTGAGCAGCGTCCTGTAATCGCCACCTCCTACTCCGCTTATGTTAGGTTACTTCGTTGTTGCTGTCGTTCTCAAGCGATATCTCCTCCGCCCTAGGTTGCTACACTCCTACCCGTGTTTCGTCACCACCGTAGCTCCAAGCGGCCACCGGTTTTCTTTGCTCCGGTTGCATCTGTCACCCCGAAGTGGAAGAGAGGGGTGCGTGTTCCGATTACATCTAGTATTCATGCCGGTGACCAAGAAGAACCACCATGGTGGCTGACCATGGTGGTTGCCGCTGCCAACACCGTTACTGCCACCCTCTACCACCACCGGCCACCACAAGGGTGGTTGTATGTGTGTGTGTGTGTTATTGGTATTTGTATTGTAAAGTGTAATTAGTGCTAGTGTAATCAAAAGAAAACTCTTAACCACCACCATGAGGTGGTGGCTGCCGCCACCAGCCGCCGTGTGGGGTGGCGGTGTGCTTTTGGTTGTGTTAGTTTGCTTTTGTGATGCTTGGACATAATGGGACTGGAACCATAATCACCACCGTGAGGTGGTGGCCGCCGCCGTGAGTCGTCGTTGACCACCACTACCCGAGGTGGTAGTGGGTGGTGGCCGACTTAGGAAAACCCTAATTGACCTAATGAAACCCTAATGAGCCTAAGGACTTGGATTTTGGGCCTAATTGGGTTGTGATGGGTTGGAAACCCTAATTAGGGTTTAGAAAACCCTAATTTTGGATATATGGGCTTTGGATTGTCGGGACCCGCATTTTGGACAACCGGATTGGGATTATGTATTAAGCCCTACCACACCATATGATTTATCTAGTAGAGTGATGGACTTAATGGATTAAGTCCTTAATGGGTTAAGTAGGAACACTTAACCCTAATCGTGATTTCATGTGAAAACCCTAATTGTGTTGGGTTTAGAGTTGGGCCTTTCTGTTGGGCCTAGATGTCTGGATTCTTGATGGGCCAACTATTAACAAGTAAATGGACTAGAACACTTGGATTAGGCTTAAGGATAAGGCCCATTGGAAAGGTTTGGGCCCAATTTGGAAAATTAGGCCATAGATGGGCCATAACTAGGCCTTGATGATTATGAGATATTGGACCATCAGAATGTCAACTGATGGACTAAGAATATATGGATGGGCTTTAAGGTAAGGCCCATGTGAGGGTTTGGGCCCAATTTGGAAAATTGGGCCATATGTTGGGCTTTGGTTCGTTATTAGACTTTTGGGCCTTTGGATTGGGCATTGGGCTTGAATCAAGCTAAGTTAGGGGTAAAGAAGTCTTTTACCCCAAGCATGGACTTATGGATATGGGTTGGGATCAAATTATTAATTGGGTGTTATTTTGATGTTGACAAATTCGGGAATCTGTCATCCAGCAGCTAGCGTTTTGTCGGCGGGACTTCAGCAGTGCGAGGTGAGTTTTTTTCCAGTAGGAACGGGTCTACGGCCACAATGCCGACCCATTTAGATGTTAGTAATTCCGGTCTACGGTCCGATGCCGGGCGGGGCCCGATGTAGGTTATATGCTTTCCGGATTACGATCCGATGTCGGGGAGGTCCCGAGGAATGTTTATGTATGCTTGATGTCTTTGTTATTCATGCATGTTATGTGTTATGTGTTCTAGGCTACGGTCCGATGCCGGGGAAAGCCTGATGCATGTATAGCTTGTATGTTATGTGTTATGTGTTCGGGGCTTCGGTCCGATATCGGGGTAAGCCTGATGCATGTATGCTTGTATGTTATGTGTTATGTGTTCCGGGCTTCGGTCCGATGTCGGGGCAAGCCTGATGCATGTATAGCTTATATGTTATGTGTTATGTGTTCCGGGCTTCGGTCCGATGTCGAGGTAAGCCCGATGCATGTATAGTTTGTATGTTATGTGTTATGTGTTCCGGGCTTCGGTCTGATGTCGGGGCAAGCCCGATGCATGTTTAGCTTATATGTTATGTGTTATATGTTCCGGACTCCGATCCGATGTCGGGGCAAGCCCGGTGAATGTTTATATGCTTATGTTTATATGCTTATGTTTACATGCTTATGTTATATGCTTATGCATATGAGACGTTGTATGTCGGGGCAAGCCTGATACTGGGCGAGGCCCGATGCCAGACGTAGTCTGATGTCGGGGTAAGCCCGATGTCGGGTAAGCCGATGTCGGGTTCGTCCTGATGTAGCTGGGCGGAGTCCCAAAGCTATGTTATATGTTACATGTATGGTATGTAATAGTTTGGGGAGACTCACTAAGCTTCGTGCTTACAGTTTGTAGTTTTGGTTTCAGGTACTTCCGGTAGCAAGGGGAAGAGCTCGGGATGATTGCAGTGCACACCCCATTTGTTTAGCCTGGGATGTTTATACTCTATGGTATTTCGAGAGGCACGATCTACGGTTTTTATATGATGTTTGGATTACTATGGTTTTATTAATAATTAAAAACGAAATTTTTGGTCTGTATTTTTGTGATGTCTCAAGTTGGTATCAGAGCCTTGGTTTGAGGGATTCGGGCACACTCTCGGGAGTGTCTCAACTCAAACTAAGGACTTGGTATGAAAATTTTCAAAAGAAAATCATTTTTACAAAAAGAATTTTGAAAAGAGAAAAGAACTTTGAAAAGAGAAAAGAACTTTGAAAAGAGAAAAGGGTGTAGTGCATGCACTCAGTCGAGCTCAAGTAAGTACTCCCAAATTACCCATACAAGTTTATGTTATGATATGTTTATGAGTACTGCATGCTAGATTAGGACTAAGGATCTAGGAAGGATGCCTTATGTGCCTATTATATGTGTATCAGCTTTACGAGAACTGCATGATAGATTAGGACTAAGGATCTAGGAAAGATGCCTTATGTGCCTGTTATATGTGTCTCAGCTTTATAAACTGCATGCTAGTACAGATTAGTTAGCAATGGCCTGAATAAGTTATGCTTGATTTGTTGGATTTGGTGTCTAAGCCCATAACTATAACTGGTATGTACTTGACCCGATTGTAGCATGGTCCTTTTGGGTTGCCTTCACCAGTGCAATTTGATAGGATGGATTTTAAGAATAAGGTTATTTATGGTTTATTAATATATGACAAGTATAATGTATTAATATGGAGTTATTTAATTAGTATTGATCAAGAATGTAAGTCCCTTAAATCTGAGGATCCAAACCAATGATGAAACAAATAGCAATCAAACACAATGAGAATGAAATAGAAGAAGAATTAACTCAAGCAATGCACACGATTTTATAGCAGGGCCGTAAACCTTCTAGTACACCTTGATTGCACACACATACGTCTCACGCCTGACAGACACTGACAAGCCCTATATATAGGGGATAGTTGGCCGTACACGGGTCTACGGCCGTAAACCCGTATACGGTCGTACACACAACCCTGACCGTAAACACAAAACAATCATCTACAAAACACCTCTAACATGACTAATACCCTACCAAGACATATACAGATAATTGCCTAGCCCAAACCATAAATCCATGAC